GCATCGCCCCAGTTCTACATCAGCATCATTGGTTACTCATAGAACCTTATCAATTGAGCTTTAGCTTAGCTAGGATAAGGACAGTACCTTATTTTAGATCAAGGGTGTAGGTTTGATTTCCACTTTGGTAGGGACTCTATTGGTCTTCAGTTTCATTGGTCTGATGTCATTTGTCCTTTGCAAAATTATGCATGGTCTTTTTTATGCTTGATGTGAGCATCAGGGCACATTTCGTTTAAAGAGAAAAGCAGAATTTCTTGCTACATTTATACAAATTTTATAAGCACTACACACACTAGATGCTGTTCATCAATGTTTGAAGCATCATGGGCTCTGATGAATGTGGAATTAGGACTTTTTCCACTTTGAAAAGGTTTGCTTTTGAAATTACCAGCGACTAAGACAGTAGGTAAATACGTGCCTATTTAACCAAATATAGTCTAAATATGTCCGTAATATGTGCATTTATCCTAATAATAAATTATAAATATAAATTTGTCGTTTTTACATGAGCACAGAACTAGAAGAGGAACTGACACTGAGCATTTAAAATATTAACTTTACTATACAAGTTGTACATCTGGGCTGTAGTTCCTCTGTGTAGCCATTTCATCTATTTTATCTAGGGCTGAAACAATTAATCAGATTAATCGATTATTGAAATAATCATTAACAGATTTAGCAATCGAGTAATCGTTAACTGGAGTATAGAAACTCTAAAATATGAATTTAGCTGACAGAGTGACCCACTTAGAGCAGTAATTATACCAAGATTGTGATCAAATTAGTTCTGGGTTGTTAACAACGTTAATGGTGGACTTTTATCTGTCAATAAAAAAAATATCACAGATAATCTATACTCAAAGCTGGGTTGGGAGCTGAGTCTATACTAGGTAAGCTGTGATGACTTTCACCTTGCATTTTAGCGTGGATTTATATCTGGGGCAGATTTATATCTGAGGGTGAGAACGAATCAGTCTTCCAACCTGTGTACCGTGAAATTACCACATCAAACTCGATGTACAGACATGGATCCAGCTATAATGACACCAGGTTTGCTTCAAGAACATTTTTTTTCAAGAAGCTTCCAAATGAAAAACTAAACAAGACCAAAGCTGTTTGCACATCATGCAAATATGGAATTGGTTTACTGCAGAAGTTCTTCTAGTCTGAAGTACCACTTAAAGGCAAAGCATCCCTTAACCAACGCAGAGGATGGCGGGCAAAGCACTGATGTAGCAAAGGGGAAGAGTAGTGTGCATCAAACTACATTGTTTGAGTTTAACCACAGCAAGCCCATCGGCACAGCTAGATCAGCCAAGCTAATGAATCTCCTCGCTCAGTGGATAGCCAGAAGCTGCCGGCCAATCAGCGTGGTTGAAGACGATGTGCTCGAGCTCATTCTCCAGGCAACCACAGGTGACTTATCTCACAAAGTACCTGCGAGGTGAACTATCATGAGGAGAATAAATGGGATCTTCACTTCTTCACTTTAGGTAGGCTAAAGTGAAGTTATTTTACCATGACACCGTGAATGATTACAATAATATGTTTGCTTCTTGATTATTGAAGGTTGGTAAAGTGGAACGCTTCTTTGAAATGTAGTTTCTGTGGTATTTATTTAGCCTAATTCATTTCTAGAGCTAGAGTATCATATGAGAAGTTCTTAAAACCCTCAGGATCTAAACATCACAAAAGACTTTCTAAACACAGATTTCAGTATTACCCTGTTGCCCTAAAGTCAGATATTTGGAGACACTATATTGTTAAAGTGGGATATCTATAATTGGAAGTTGGACACTATTTCTTGCAGCAAAAACACAGTAAAAAATTAGCCAAAAAAAGTATAACTCTGTCAAAATCTTAAGCATCAAGATGAAATTACATGTGATTTGGGAAACATAAAAAAAGTAAACCAGTTTTAAATTCTGGACATCAAAATGATTAATTTATCCCTCAAGAGGACACTAATCAAAAGATATAGAGGCACACATTTTACCCATTTTCCCACTTTACCCATATTCACCCTAGTGGTTTACTACTACTAGTGAACTTATTCTGATCTACTTTGTCTGTTAGGTGTGATGAGAAAAGAGGAGCGTCATTTTACAGAAGTGTGTGCAACATGTTTGTTTTTTAAATGTTTTTTTTGTAATTCAGTAAGTTTACAGGTTCCTGTTGTTGTATATGCATGCGTCAGATAATGAACTCAAGCCTACATTACCGTGTTAACATGCTTTTCAATCCTTCCTAAACATTCTTTTCAAACTAAACTTTGCTTTAAACTGTTCTGTGCTTGGAAAAATATAAATTGTAATGTTAAAAATCTAAAAAAAAATTGACAGGTTAAAAACTTACACTACTACTACTCATCAATTTAACATGTTTAGCTCTATAACATTTAAATGCACCACTCCAATGTCTAAGAGAAAAAAATGTAATGAACATTTTTTAATGTATGACCACTGTACAGAAGACTGCCATATGATAGAAATATTTACACTGTGGGCATACAATTATTATTATTTTCCTAATCCCTGACTGATCATTTTTAATCTAGCGTGCATTATAGGACAGATTAAATTCATCATCCAGCTGCTGCTCTGCAGAATTCTCTCCCCAAGAGCTGAATCACGCCATCTAGTGGAAAATCGTTTGAGAATGTGTACAAAACAAAAATGGCGCCTGCAACGCTTGTGGGTCGTTTTCAGCGAATGTTGGTGATTTTAAAGTAATTTTGAGTGATAAATAATTTTTTTGCCCGGCGGGCAAATGCAATGAAATTTGTACTCTCCCGACAATAAAAACTACTTGCCCCGGGCGATCGGGCAACGGTTAACATCAATCCCAAGACTTGGGATTACTCCTTCAGGGAAATTCTGGTTCCTGTAGATTAAAATACCACTTTACTATGAAAGCTTGTGTATCAGTTCAGTTGATGTATGGGTACTTAAATGCATGAACTTACAGCATGGTGATTTATTATTTATTTCAGTTTTTGCTTTTAGTCAAAGGGTTTTTTAGGCAATTAATTACACCCTGAGTAAACATTGGATGTTTTTTTTTTTATGGAAAAGTATAAATATTATATATAGGCCTACCCAGACTTACAAAGTATTATCAGTCTACTCTCAGTTCCATTTCTTTAATATTAGTATATTGTATTGCTTTTGCTGTAATGTTAAGGAAATTCCCACTTACTGCTCTAACTGATCTTACAGTTCAGATTGTAACTCAAGGAGTAAACTTAATTTT